CTCTCTCTCTCTCTCTCTCTCTCTCTCTGGCACGGGACATCACATTCCTTAATTCTATCCCTTGGTCAGCAGCTCGTGTTCATGATAATCTAATGGGGTATGAAATTATGATTGTAAAATTGTACACACCTATAGACACGATTTGGATCATCTTGAAGGCTGGCTGCGTCGATCATACATCATGTCAAGGCCAACCTGGGCTGAACGGATACGATACATTGCATAATCATCGCACACTCGATAATGACCATTTAGTTTTAGTTTTAGTTTTAGTAGAGGTTTTACGGCTCTCGCAACTGCATAAGGTCATATGAGCGCCAGGAGATTAGAGGTGTTACAAGAGAGTAACAAACATTAAAAACAAGAAGGGGAGATAAGGACGATGGATGTTTGATAGGAAAGAAGAAGCAAACCCCACCAGAGCACCCGCCAACCACCCACGTTTTAGTAAGCGTTTTACCACTTGCAACACAATAAGGTCATATAAGTGCCGAAGATTATGGGTGTTACAAGAGAGTAAGAAACACAAAAAAGAAAGAGGGGAGATAAAGACGATAGACATTTGATAGGAAAGAAGAAACAAACCATACCAGAGCACCCATCATAATGACCTTCCCCACTAGGGAATCGAACCGAGGTCCTTGGCATATGACGATGAAGAGCCTGATCCCAATCTGACAACTTCCACTTGAGTCTATTACTATTACTAACAACATAATATAGAACTAGTCAGCTACTCTACACCATACACCCTACTGCGTTTATGCAGGCAGGCTTTGGGCAGTCATTGGTCGTATCAAAAATGTTTTGGTGGTTGTAGTTTGTCCAGGGGAAAGGGGGGGGGGGAGCTGTCAAATAGATTGGCATCCATTTCCCTTTTTATTAATAAAATATGAACCCTGTCAATGCAGTGGAGTTTATTAATTTGATCAAAGAGTAGCACATTGTTGACAGGATAACGGCTGATGATGGAGACGATCAGCCTGCCCACACAGAAATGGACCCTCGAGAAGAGGGGCGAGGAAGTATGGAGCATCCCGTCTTCCTAAGACCCCAGTTCTAGATCCAAGTAAGTAACGGCCATTTAGTGCAGAAAAAAGCAAAGAATCTACACACAAAAAAAAGAATCTATCAGCGACACCCTTCAACCACCTG